AGGTGCAAAAACTTAGGTCACAGAGGGGAATGTGTAACAACCAGTCAGAGATTTCCTGAGATCAAGTCTGTTAGGCTAGTCATTATTTCTCCTTTGTCCTTTATCAAAACAGAGAAAAAAAAAAGTGTCATAAACTCAAGGACAAAATACACATATCCCAATGACTATTTTTTATTACAAGAGAGTTATGTGATCTGTGTGCATGTTGAGTGCTACCAAATAGTATACTTTGGAACCTCTTTTAGTGCCTGTCAGAAGCCTAGCTAGTGAGTGATACTTGACCAATAGTCTTGGGATAAGAAAGTTTCTCATCAGAAAGAGTAGAAAAAGTTTATCAGTGTCCTTCCTAAGAGAAAGACATTCTGTAGTAGTAGTTTTAATATGATGAAGATACCTTAGCACTTAAACTAATTGTTTTTGAGAGACAAAATTGGAGGACTTACACTTCCTAATTTCAATACTTACTCAAAGCTCCATAATTGAAACAGTCTGGACTGGCACAAGGATAAACATATAGACCAATGGCATGGAACTGAGAGTCCAGAAACAAAACAAAACCTTACATTTATGGCCAACTGTTTTTGACTCGGGTGCCTAGCCAGTTCAGTACTGGAGATAATAGTCTTTTCAATAAAGTGCTGGGACAATTGGATATTCACATGCGAGAGAATTAATTTAGACCCTCCATCTCACATATGTACAAAAATAAACTCAAAATGGATCAGACTTAAATCTTAGATAAAAAATGAATAAACTCTTAGACGAAAACAAAGGTGTTAGTTTTTGTGATCTTGGATTAGGCAAATCGTTTCTTAGGCATGAAACCGAAAGCACAAGTGACAAAAGAAAAAATAGACAAACTGGACTTCATACAAGTTAAAAACATCTGTGCTTCAAAGGACATATCAAGAATGTAAAAACTGACAAGAATGGAAAAAAAATATTTGTAAATCATATACCTGATAAGACATATTTAGAATATATAAAGAACACTTACAATTCAATAATAAAAGTACAAATCACTCAATTAAAAAATGGGAAAGGGATATGAATAGATATTTTCCACAGAAAAAATATAGATTGCCATTAAGCATATAAAGAGATGCTTAGTATCATTAGTTATTAGGGAAACACAAATCAAAACCACAGTGAAATATCCCTTCATAGTTCATGGTGTAAAGAAATTGAGCTCTCAAACCTTGGTGAGAATGTAAAATGGTGCAGTCCCTTTGTAAAAAGTTTGGCAGTTTCTCAAAAAGTTAAACACAGGGTTATCACGTGACCCAGTAATTCCACTCTTAGGTATATATCCCAAAGGACTGAAAACACAAAAAACTTGTACATGAAATGTTCATAGCAATACTATTCATAATAGCTAAATAGTGCTAACAATCCAATGTCCATCAACTGATGAACGGTTAAACAGAATATGGATATCTATATAATATTATTTGGCAAATAAAAAAAGTATTGATACATGCTATAAATGGGTGAATCTCAAAAACATGCTAAGTGAAAGAAGCCCGACACAAAAGAACACACATTTATTGACTCCATTTTTATGAATGTCCAGAACAGTCAAATTTATAAAGACAGAGAATAGATTAGTAGTTGCCAGGGAATAGGGGTGGGTGGGCATGGTAAATTGGGAGATACAGTGTTTCTTTTTGGGGTGATTAAAATGGTGATGGTTGTACAATTTTGTGATTACACTAAAATGCAATGAATCGTACATTTTAAAATGGAAATTTTATGGTATGTGAATTATATCTCAATTAAAAAAAGAAAAAGACAAGCAAGCATAGCATACCTTAAAGTTTTCCTAAGCATAAAAAAACAAAAACTTGAATTCTTTTCTATGGTTTGATTCAGTTTTATCAATATTATCTTTTTCTTCTTCAACAATCATAATCATAATGATAAAAATTGCAGGTACTTATTAAGCACTTACTAAACATGTAGCAAGCAAGCATTTTATACTTGGTGTTTTCTCTCAAATTATCTTAATGATCTTGTACATGGAGTTATTATCCCATTTTATAGAAAGGAAAATGAAGGTAAAAGAGGCTGAGTAATTTGCCCAAGGTTATATAAAGGTAATTAAGTTTGACTCCAGAGGTTCTATTATGCCATTTTGTCTTCCTTAAAACAATGACTTAATGGTCTCAAATACTAAGTTATTTTTCAATGTATTATGTTGTTTTTCTATCACCATCAATGAATTAGATACCATTTCAGGGTCCAGTATTAAATAATGATCTTAACCTCCTTATTTTGTTGAGCACAGGGCAAAGACAGAAAAAAATTCCTACATGACAAGTTTTTATTTGTATCAAATTACAGAATACCATAAATAAATATAAGATTATACTTTGAATACTGTAATATAACATAATTTGGCAACTTATTTAATTATCCAAAGTTTATTACATGTTTGAGTATGCACTAAAGAGATTATTTGGCATAACTTGGCAAGATACTTTTGTAACTTATTTGATCATTTATCATTTATATATGTGTTACACATATATGTATGTATACACATACACACATACATATATCCATACACATACTCCTAAATTAAATATCCTTGTATAAAAAGCTGAAGATTGATGTGTTAGAATTAATTCCTGTTTAAAAATCTATTATATTAAATCGCATCTGCATTCAAAGCAGAAATGTAAAAAAACTGATCAATTTGCTAAATACACATGAATTTACAAAGTAATTGAAAATGAAATAAAAATTTCCATTGAAATGTTATATTCCTGTTTAATCAACATTTAAGTAGCACTATCAAACTATGGAAATAGACATTATTTTTTTAGGCTATTGCGAGAATAAAGATTCTACTGAGCATTACTGTAATCCTCTAAATTAAGAATGAATATTATTATAGTAGGAAAAGATGGCAGATAATTTTCTTCTTTATTAATATGGGAATTCTCAGGAAGCAATCAGGGCAGTATCTATTCCACTGGGCTTGGATTTCCTGCTTTCCTATCAGTGGAAATCTGGCTTCTCAGGAAAAGTGCAGCCGGTCCGCCTAATTATGACGCTTGCTGCATAGTGACCAGCACGGATGCATTCAGTCAAGGGCTTGTCAGAGACCAGCTGAGACAGAAAACCTGGAACACAGACAAAAAGGAAGAACATGAGTATTGCCTAATAGCATCAGAAATGTCATATCGGGTCAGGCCAAAAAAATGGTCTATGTACCTATCTCTTTTTTCAGTCTTAATAGTGTTAAACTCCAAGTGTTAGAGTCCAAATGGAAGAGTTCGTCCCCCAAACATCATAGGTTTTCCTCAATATTTCTTTTAAAGAGCTCAAGTTGGGACAGGACAACTCATCAACAAGTCATTCTAGTCTTTGAAAGCCTAAAGTATCACACTTTCTTTAGTTTTGAGATTAAGAGTTGTGAGTAAGAAATACTGGCCAAATAATATTATCTTGGGTCTTTACAGCTGAGAAAGTATCAGTTACTCCCTCTCTCCATCTCTCTGGATTCCTTCTGTGTTGTTATTCCTACCATACTGCTTTTGGACAAAATTCTGCCGTATGGATATCTCTCCAAGTACAAATTTAAGAGTTGAAAAGTTATAAAGGACTTCCATCTCCCTTTTGCTCCCAGAAGCAACTGTGAAATAATTTCTATAGTCAAGTGCCATAGACCAGTTTGACATTAAAATAAATGTGATAAAGTAGAAAATAGTGTTAAGGACTTCTGTTTCTGACCAAGAAGAAATAAAATTAAGGCAACCGGATTTGTCCTTTTTCCAGAAATTACTAAAATTAAAGACAAAGTATATGAAGCAAAGTTTTTCAAATACTATAAAAGACTCGTGAAGGGAGGGAAACAAATAGGGTAAACAATAAAAGTGTTCTAGCTCACCACCTAGAGAGAGCTAGAAGGCCACAGTACAAGAACAGCAACCGAGGGAGAGTTCAACAGTCTCACTGAGTCGTGAAGGTGGATTTGGGAGTCTAAGTAGGACAAATTTAAATATCTAGGCAAACTGATCGGGGAAAAAAAGAGAGAAGACATAAATGACCAGTATTGGGAATAAGAGAGGTGATGTCACGATAGAATCTCTATACACTAAAAGAAAAATAAACATTAATAATTTTATATCAATAGATTTGATAAAGTAGATGAACTGGACAAATTCCTGGAAAGACACAAATTATCAAAGCTCAGGAAGAAACAGACAGCCTGGCTAGTCTTGTACTTACTAAACACATTAATTTTTCAGTTAAAAAACATCCAATAAAGACAGTTTCAGGTCCAGATGGTGTCACTGGTGAATTCTACCAAATATTTAAGGAATAAAAATAGTATCAATGCTATACAATAACCTCTTTAGAAAACTGAAAATACTTCCCAGCTTATTCCTTGAGGCTAGCATTACTCTGATATATATATAAAAAAAGCAAATATTTTAAAGAAAATTTTAGCAAAGCAAATCCAATAGTATATTTAAAAAGATAATAAATTATTATTATCCTAGGAATGCAAGGTTGTTCTAACATTAAACACTAATCAATGTAATATACCATAACTAAGAAAACCATAAGATCATCTAATAGAAGAAGAAAAAGCATTTGGCAAAATCCAAATAAATTACTAATAACAACTTTTAGCAACCTAGGACTAGAAGGGATCTTCCTCAACCTGGTAAAGGATACTTAGGAAAAATTTACAGTTAAATGGTGGATGATGGAATGTTTTCCCCTTAGGATCAAGAACAAGACAAAAATGTTTACTCTTAAACATTGTACTGTACTGAAGACTTTAGCCAGTATAATAAGGCAAACAAAAGAAATAAATAAAAGTTGGGGCGCCTGGGTGGCTCATTTGGTTTAGTGTCGGACTCTGAATGGGCAACATGGAGCTAGCTTGGGATTCTCTTTGTTTCTGCCCCTCCCTTGCTCTGTCTTTCCAAAATAAATAAATAGACATTTTAGAAACAAAGAAATAAATAAAAGGTATCAAATGGTTGCTTTGACAGCATGTATAGTAAAATTGTAATGATACCGAGAAGCTTAGCATGGCCCCTGAACAAGGACAACAAGCAAATTCGTTAAGTGTTCCATATTTAAAAACAAAGGCATTAAGATGGAACAAGAAGTGAAGCTATCTTTATTTGTAGATTGCATGTTTGTCTATGCCTATGGTTCTCAATAGTGGGTGATTTTGCCGCCCACCAGAGGACATTTGGTAATGTCTGGCAATTTCTGGTCGTCACAGCTAGGGCAGAGGGTGCTGCTGGTATCTAATAAGTAGAGCGAGGAATGCTGCTAAATATCCTACAACGTCCATAATGCAGAGATTGAGAAATTCCTGGCCTTTTATAGAATATCTTATAGAATTTAGAAAAAAGTTACTAGAACTACTAAGTGAGTTTAGTAAGGTTAGAAGGCACAAGATCACTATACAAAAATTGAATTTTCATACTATATACACATCATCATGTGTGTATATATAGCAAGTGTATGTACTAGTAATGAACAATTAGAAATTGATATTAAAAATCCCTTTTACCATACTATCAAATATGTGCAATGCTTCATAAAAGTGTAAGACCTGCACACTGAAAGTGACAAAACAATGCTGAGAAAAAGGAAAGAAACCTAGGTAAATAGAGAGATATAAAGTGTTCACAGATCAGAATAATCAATATTGTTAACATCTCTAAGAAATTTTTCCATGGATTTCATTTAATACCAATAAAAATTCCAGCAGGTCTTTCTTTCTTTCCTTTTTTTAAAGTTATTTTTTTAAATTAAGTTTATTTATTTTTACAGTGAGAGAGAGCCCGTGCATGTAAGCAGGGGAGGGCAGAGATAGAGGGAGAGAGAGAATCCCAAGTAGGCTCTATGTTGTTAGCACAGAGCCCAATGTGGGACTTGATCTCAGAAACCATGCGATCATGACCTGAGCCAAAATCAAGAGTCAGGTGCTTAACTGACTGGGCCACTCAGGCGCCCCTCCTGCAGAACTTTCTTATAGAAACTGACCAGCTGATTCCAATATTTATGTGGAAATGCAAAGGACTAAGATTAGTCAAAACACATCTCTGAAAAACAAGACTCCTTTAGTTACAACTTATTACAGAACTAAAATAATCAAGACACTATGCTATTGGCATAAAGATAAACAAACATATCAATGCAACTGCACAGAGTCCAGAAATCAACCTACTTCTATATCATCAATTGATTTTTGATGAAACTATCAAAGCACTCCAGTGGAGAAAAGATACTCTTTTAAACAAATGGTTTAAAACAGAACGGCTGGATGGCATATTTGAAAAAACAAAGAAACCACTTCAACCCTAACTTCACATCATTTGCAAAAATTCATTTGAAATAGGTCACAGATCTAAATGTAAGAGGTAAAAGCATAAAATTCTGAGAGAAAATCATCGAAAATCTTAGTGATTTGGAATTTGCCAAAAATCTCTTAAGACAAAAAGTACAAAAATTTATAAAGGAAAAAAATATCTGGACTTTGTTAAACTAAACACTTTACACATCAATAACAAGAAATAAGGCAATAAAAATGAGCAAAAGTGTTGAACTAACATTTTAGCAAAGAAGATGAACAAATGCAAAATAAGATATTGCTGCCAATCCACTAGAATGGCTAAAATTAAAGATTGACCATAACAAGTGTTAGCAAGGGTGTGGGTGAATTGGAATCCTCCCATACATTGATGGTGGGAATATAAAATGATAAGATCACTTTGAAAACCATTTGTTAGTGTCTTAAAAAGTTAAAAATACATTTACCATATGACTCAGTCACTCTATTTCTAGGTATTTGACCCAACGTAAGTGAAAGCATATATTCCTACCAAAGATGTGTAGTGAATGTTCACAACAGCTTTATTTGTAATAGCTCCACACTGGAAATGATCCAAATGTGGATGAGAAGCAGCAGGAAGGCAGGATTACAAAATAGCATGCCTTTTGTAGAAGGCAGGATCTACAAAATAGACGTAGTGGATATGTCTGTAGTGATGGCTTCATGGGTATATGCGTGCAAAATTGTACACTTTAAAAATGTGCAGTTTATTGTATATCGGTTATAGTACAATAAAATTATAAAAGATGAAAAAAGGGAGAAAGTGTTGTAGTTACAAATAAGATAGGTGAAGAACAGAAGAATTTGGGGCTACTTTCCCTCCAGAGGAAACCTGAACTGCTATAGCAGACTCAAATACTCAAGAATGGATGATAATGAGAAACTGTTCTGTAGCCAGACTTCCAGGCTGTTCCCCAGGCCCTGGCAGCCTGGTGAGGGTGAAGATTAATTGAGAAGCTGTGGTATAAAGACCTGTAGAGAACATTATAAGAGATTTACGTCCTTTCTTCTCTACCTTTCTGACCACACAAGCTTTTTCCCTGTCAGATGTGGGGAATGCTCTGTATCTAGTAAAATAAGTATTCCCAACCAAAGAATAAAATTAATTTAGTTAATGGAGTGATATATTTTAAAGACATTTGCTTAGAATGTGAAGTCACTCCCTCAAGAGGTTTAGTAAGAGTATTTTATCATTGAGTTTTCAGGTAACAGTCAAAGGTCAATATTAACTTTCAGCCAGGCTGTGAGGCTAAAATGCTCAGCCCACACAGTGAATGGAGCAGATGCCAAAATCAGAGTCAGATCAGCTTACAATGGAAACACATCTATTAGAAGCCTTATAAGCAACATCTGTTTTCCTCATTCCTTCTGGTATGATCTTTGTGAGAAAAAGGAAAGCTTATGTTTATGAAATATTTGTGTGAAGCATAAGCACCAGCACCCGCTTTCTAAGAGAAGAGCTAGTTGATGACTGAAGTGAAGTACTCTGAAGAGACATTTGCTTTGACAAGTGGAAAGCCTGGATGCAGAAAAAAGCTAGGACCTTTGCCCTGGGTGAATAACAGTTTTCAATAATCTATTTAGAAAAACCAACCAAGGTGAACTACATATGTTATATAATCAATTGTAAGTGGACCCTTCATAAAGTAGCTGATGTGAATCTTAAAATTTATGTAAAATGGTTTATTTATTTATTTGTTTTTAATTTTTTAATGTTTTATTTATTTCTGAGAGGGAGAGAGAGACTGCGTGAGCAGGGGAGGATCAGAGAGAGAGGGAGACACAGGATCTGAAACAGCCTCCAGGCTCTGAGTGAGCTGTCAGCACAGAGCCCGACGCGGGGCTCAAACTCACGAACAGTGAGATAATGACCTGAGCTGAAGTCAGACGCTTAACCGACTGAGCCACCCAGGTGCCCCTAAAATTGTTTAAATAAACAAAGAGAACTTTGGTTTTACGAATCATAGGGAATCCTTTTATTACATGAAAAAATATTCTGATAGTTTTTTTATTGTGTAAAATACACATAACCTAAAATTTAACATTATGTCCAGTTGCTAGTCACTGGTGATGTTAATTTTGGTCACCTGGATGTTCATATAATTGCCAATGCTTTGCAATGACAATGAATGTCGGAATATTTTTTTTGTGTATATATTTCTGTATTGGTGGGGGATGTACCTTCAGGATAAATTTCTAGCAGTAGAATCTCTGGGTTGAAGAGTAAATGTGTAAGTAGTTTAATTGTTAGATACTGCCAAATCCTCCATTTTGTATTTCCACTAGCAATGTTTAAGAGTGTGTGTTTACCCCACAAACTCTCCAACACAGTGTGCTGTCAAGCTTTTGAATTTTTGCTAGTGGGTTAGAAATGATATCTCAGTGTAATTTTAATTTGCATTTCTCTTATTATTAGTGAGGCTGGACATCCCTTTATTCATTCATTCATTTATTTATTTATTTAAAAATGTTTATTTTGAGAGAGCAAGAGGGAGCTCATGCACACAAGTTGGGGAGGGGCAGAGAAAGAGGGAGAGAGAATTCCAAGCAGGTTCTGCGCCATCAGCCCATAGCCCGACATGGGGTCCAAACTCACAAACCATGAGATCATAACCTGAGCCACAATCAAGAGCTGGATGACTAACTGACTGAGCCCCCTAGGTATGTCAGAACATTTCTTATATGTTTAAAGAACAAATCCCTTTCACTGAATTGTTTGTTCTTTTACCTATTCTTCTAAAGGATATTTGGTCTTCCCCTATTTTTAAAAGTTACTTATATTTTGGGGATATTATTCTAATAAAGTATTTTCTTAGGTAGGGAAAAATATCAACAATAACACTATGCTATTAATACATACAAATACTGCGTCAGCAAAGAAACAAAGTGCTTACTCATATCTTATTTACTGAATGTGATGAATTTTAAAGAGTGTGGTTGGTACACACTATAGTAGATAAATATGGCTTGTAGATATATATCAAAAAAGAAGTTTCCTCTCTTTTAGTAAATATTTTGGGCCTATCAGGAATTCAACAAGAAAATCTCAAATAGCTGACTTGGCATGTATGCTTCATATGAAAAGTCCCCTATGAGCCCTTTTTCCTGGTGCCTTTTTCTGGTTCTTATGGTCCTTGTCAGCACATTATCTTGAAAATGAAGGGTAAGGCTCTGCATATATGCTTTCCAACATAGTCAAGAGAACAGAAACAGAAGGTATAACACTGGAGAACAAGAAATATCAACATAGGTTTCCGGGGCACCTGGGTGGCTCAGTAGGTTAAGCGTCCGACTTCGGCTCAGGTCATGATCTCGTGGTTCATGGGTTCGAGCCCCACATCGGGTTCTGTGCTGGCAGCTCAGAGTCTGGAGCCTGTTTCAGATTCTGTGTCTCCCTCTCTCTCTGCCCGTCCCCCGCTCATGCTCTGTCTCTGTCTCAAAAACAAATAAACTATAAAAACCAAAACCATAGGTTTCCAATCAGGAACTCCTACGTTGAGACAGTTGTTCTTGCCTTTCTACTTTGGTTCTTTTTCTCTGGGATCTGTAGATCTCCTTTCTAATCCTTTATGGATTAGAAGGCTTATCCCTTGACCTCTTAGACTTTTCTGAAATTTGGGTCATTTCATGGACTTTAGGTCTCTAGCTGTTGAGGCATATGGTAGGTGAATGTTTCTCAGTGACAATGAATTTGGATCCTAGGGGTAGTGTTGGCTGGCTCTGGATCTTGCAA